AATCATACCGTGACCCGCCATGGATCGCGCAAGGAAGCGTATAATCTCTCACCACCCTTCTTACTTTGTATAGTAGCTAATTATCTCTCTAGGCGAACTGCGCACTTTGAACGAAAAGGCCTGGGATGGCGAATCTAGTATGAATCATCTGTCTACCCCACCACTCCCCCGCCATCTTCTATTAACAACTCCTGTCGTAGACTTGTTCCCTGTTGCAAAGACTCTCGATTCGTCTCTCAAGAAGAATACCGCTTTCATTAAACGACTGCGAACAGCCATCACCGCCGCTACCCTCAGTACCTTCCTTCAGGAAATCCGAACTTTGAGCCTACACAAGTACCTTTCCGAGATCATATCTGCTTGCTATGAGGGGCTATGCCGACTCAAGTCGCCTGGCGAGATCGAGGCCGGCGTGGAGATTGTCAGTGCTCTCCATCAGCGATTTGGTCCTCACGAGTTTACGGAATACTTAGCTTGGCTTCTCGGAAAAGGGATGGCAACTCCGGATAAGGGTATACTCAAAGCTCTGGCACTAGAGGTTCGTGAGAAAGAAGAGAAGGAGCGCATCACAAGACAACGCGCACTGCTTCGTGTAGTGACCGAGTTGTGGCTTGTTGGCGTCATCAGGACCCTTGATGATGTCAGCAAGCCCGACGATGCAACAAAAGGAGCCGCAGGCAAGATTCCCGAACTGAAGACCCGAACGAACAAAGGCACCGGCGCGGAACCGTTCCCTCTCGAAGTACTTAAGGATTTGCTTGGTCACGACCGCGAACATGCCAACCTTCCGCTTCTTGTCATCTTTGTCAAGTCATTCAGCTGGGATATCCTTGGGGTAAAACCAACAGGCGCTGATGGCCGAAAGACAGTAGAGGAAGATGGCACTACTGAAGGAAACGAAGCCGAGGATGGCAATGGTGGAAATGAGGCGTCTCCTGACGCAGATCAGCCTTTTACCGAACCCGAAATGCGTGATCGATTCAGAAGCATATTGAAGAAGTATTTTGATGATGTTAAGGGCCACATCACTCGGGATCAGAAGTCGATACAGTCGCAAGCTCGACGTAATGCCGAAGTATATGTGAAGTCTGGTGAAGTCTTTGAAGACCGACAGGCGAACTATGAGAAGCAGGTCAAGGCTCAAGAACGCCTCGTCTCCAACGCACAGGTTATTGCGGACGCAATTGGGGCCGAAATGCCGGACCTCAAAGACTCAGATGATTCATTCGCCGCTTCCAACGGGTCTATCGGTCTCGTCAAAACTGGCGATTATCTTCGTTCCATGGGAGATGGTGCCGGAATCTGGGAGGATGAAGATGAGCGACGCTTTTACGAAAATCTGGTTGATCTTAAAGGCAAGGTGCCAGCTATCTTACTGGAGGACGGCAAAAAGAAGAAGACAGACACGGACGAACAAGTTGGGAAGAAGGCAGACCCATTCGAGGCCTCGGAAGCCCCCAAGACTGCCGAGACTGCTGATGACCAGTCCACATCTATCGCTAACCGAACCATTGGAGCGCAAGTCGATGCCCTGCTTGCGCGTCTACCAGAGTTGACCAACAAGGACATCGCAGACCAGACAGCTATCGATTTCTGCTTCCTGAATTCCAAGGCTTCTCGCAACCGACTGGTGAAGGCCCTGACGGAAGTTCCAAAGGGCCGTAGCGACTTACTCCCGTCATGGTCTCGCCTTGTGGCGACTTTGGGTCGATATATGCCAGATGTTCCAAAAGGCCTGGTCGATTACCTTGATGCGGAATTTCGAAGCCTTCAACGACGAAAGGAAAAGGACTTCTTGGGACAAGTCCGTCTGAGCAACATACGGTATCTTGCTGAGTTGACAAAATTCGGCATTGTGCCCGAGCATGTTGTCTTTCATTGTCTGAAAGTCAGCCTCGATGACTTTTCACGCATGAACATTGAGATCTTGTGCAACCTCATTGAGAACTGCGGCCGGTATCTGCTTCGAAACCCTGAAACAGCTCCTCGTATGACGAGTTTTCTTGAAACTCTGCAGCGCAAGAAGTCCGTCCAGCATATTGGACAACCAGAGCGGATGCTCATCGATAACGCTGTTTACTACGTCGACCCACCAGAGCGTTTAGCTATCGAGCAGAAGGAACGCACTCCCATGGAGCTATTTGTTCGCAAAATGATCTATGTTGATATGACAAAGAGAAATTACAGCAAGATCTTGAAGCAGATTCGAAGGCTCCACTGGGAGGAGACAGAGGTATGCAGCAGAAATAGTATTTTATGAACAAGTGCTGATAGTTTTAGGTTGTCGCCATCTTGGAGAAGGTGTTCTCAAAGCCTGGAAAGGTCAAGTATGGAAACGTTCACCTTCTTGGTATCTTGCTCAGCGCGCTCTATCGCTACCATCCTGCCTTTGTGGTCAAGGTTATCGATAACGTGATCGAGTCTATGACGTTTGGTCTCGAGCAGAATGATTATAGGTTCTATCAGCGACGTATTGCCGAAGTCAAGTATCTTGGCGAGCTTTATAATTACCGTATGCTTGAACATCCTGTTATCTTTGACACCATGTACAAGATTATGACATTCGGATATGGTAAGACGTTCCCTAGACTACTAACTTGTCCATCAACTGACTGAAGTTACAGGCGGCCCACCTATTCCTGGTAAATATATTCCACTCGATCCTCCCGATGACTTCTTCCGCATCCGACTTGTATCTACAATGCTGGAAACCTGCGGCATGTTCTTCAACCGCGGAGCAGCGGGCAAGAAGTTGGATTACTTCCTTTCATTCTTCCAGGTATGATCCTTCACCCCCCTTCTGTTGTCTCTAACCGACACTCTGGCAGTATTACATCTTCACTAAAGTGTCCCTGCCAATGGATATCGAGTTTTTGGTTCAAGACACATTTGCTCTGACTCGGCCACAATGGAAACTTGCCACAAGCTTGGATGAGGCCGTAAAAGCCTTCCAACTTGCCGTTGCTCAAGACCAGAAGTCGGCAGGCGTTGACAAGGGAATCGACGTGGATGATGCCACAAGCGATGCTTCGTCGGACGATGACAACGTGGACAATGATGAAGATGGCGACGACAACGAAGACAGTGCTTCTGAGGAAGAGGAGGCAGAGGTAAGTCAATTAAATGCGAAATACTTGGCCATGATTGACAAATGTAATACAGGACGTAGAGGAAGATTCCGACGACGACAGTACCTTTGACGAGGAAGCCATCGTAGTCACTCGACAAGAGGAGGAAGTTGACCCTGAGGATGAGGCTGATTTTGAGCGCGAGTATGCCAAGATGATGGCTGAAAGTCTCGAGTCGCGCAAGTTTGAGCGCAAGCAGCTCTTTGATGTGCCACTTCCAGTTCGGTCCAAACATCGCGAGGCTACATCAACAGAGGGAGGCGAAGGAGAATCTCCTCCTGGCCATACTATGGCGTTCTCCTTATTGACGAAGAAGGGCAACCGCCAGCAGGTAGTTTACATTGCCACTTTGTGCCGTTCTCTAAATGCTGACCTGGAATTAGACACGGACGGTCGAACTGCCCTCCGATTCTACCTTTGCTATTGCAATGAAGAACCAGCAACAGGCTGAAAGGGAGGAACAACAGCGCATCAAGAATTTGGTGCTCAACTATGATCTTCAGCAGAATGAAGACCAGGATGGTGGTACAGACCCTCAACCCACACAAATTCATCACAACACCAATATTCACACATTAATTCAGGCAACGAACGACCGGCGACGTTCTACCACAATCGGTTGGAGAGATCGAACAAGGATAAGAGCCAAAGATCTCGTAAACTCCAACTGAGCGATGTCGACTGGTAAAGATATTCAAATGGGTAAGACTTCTAATCAGGAAACCACCAGCCTTAACGATAAATCATCATCACTCGATGACCGTCTCTTCGCTTCCGAATTATGCTCACGGCTGCTGTGATCAAGAACCAACCTTGTACCACATTCGTGCCGTCTTTGCACGTCGCGCGAAGGGCTGTCCAGTAAGCTGAATTCTCCTCGGCGTTGATGCAAGCTGTGCTCTTCAATACTGCGGCCTCACGCAGTCTAGCTCCATTGCTTGAAGTATTCTCGCAGCAGTAAGATAGCTTCCGTGGTATAAGCCTGGACGTCGGAAAGCGACCCTGTCGCACGCGCGCGACGCAGCAACGTGTTTGCCAGGAAATGAAAGGGACAAGGCACACCAGAAGCGCATGCGTCGCCTGGAGTTGAGGATGTTTAGACGCCCAACATGCCTTGAGCAGATGAATAGCTAAGGAAGGCATTTGAATCCCTACCCGGTTGCCGGTTATCAGTACGCTGTAGCTTGAGATTGAAATACTGAACTTGATGCTAGAGAGCATTGGACCTGGCGGACGCATTGAGTTAATCAAGAGTGGAAATGCTAACGCTGATACTGGTTTGTGCGTGTTTGTTCGTTTCCAGATCGACCAATGCTTATTAGTCCACCTTTTGACAGGCAATAGATCATGTGTAACTGTGACGAGGTTGGGATGGCACCCAGTTCTTGATGACCTTTAGATGGACAATCCTGCCTTGAATTCCCACGGGGATCTGAACATCTTTGCATTCTATGTTTCTTCCGTTCTCAGCATCTTCTTCGCACCTTCCCTCTTATGCAGCTTCCGAAGGCAGTTTCCTCTGATATTCATGGTACTTGCTCTCCTTCAACTTCATTCCTAATCGTTTTGGCTTGTGTCACCAAGTTTGACTCATCTAAGCCTCGCAATATTCTGCGGGCACCCGCCGGGAGTTTACCTCAAGGCAGTGCCTCCAACCTAAGAGACGGCCCCTTTCTGAGCACTGCCCCGTGCTTCTTTGACTCCTGTCTCCCATGGCCACTGTCCAGCACGGCTCCCAGCACACGAATCTTTGGGGAGTGGTCGCCGTGCGCCAGGTCGAGTTTACGAACTGTTTCCATCTGTTTCACTGACTCTGTCTCTCCGTTGCCTGCCGACTGCTGTCAAACGAGGAGGTAATGCCGCTCTGCAATCATGGCCCTACTGAAGGACTGGCCGTTGCAAAACGTGAGTTGGCATTCTGCAGTGTTATTCTCCGTCATGTGCACTAACTTGATCATTCCAGGTTATATACACCAGTATAGTCGGCATCGTGCTTTTGATGGCATGCCTCGAGTGGTTTCTCTGGCTGGCAGCGTTCGTCTACTGTCTCGTCAAAGTCTTTCAGAAGGCAGAACATTGGTCCATTAATGTCTTATGCATCATTGTTGGCACTGTCTTTGTTCTCCTCCGGTAAGCCGTGCCCCATCCCGTAACATAATACAACATGGCTTTAGCTAATATCAAGTCTAGGGTCATATTCCTCCCAATCATGGTGGTGACGCTGCCACTTCCGGATACTGTTACAAAGTTGTGGCCGAAAGAGATGGTGTCTTTTCTCCAGTGGTTTGCATTCTGGGCCTTCGCGATCCTCCTGACAGTGCCATGGTTGTTCTGTATCTACCAAGTCGTCACAAATCAACTCGGTCGAACGAAGCGTATGAAACAGGTGCTCGATGATGTTACTGCTCCAAAGGTCGTCATAGTCATGCCTTGTTACAGAGAGGAACCCGAGGTTCTCCTCAAAGCTGTCAACTCAGTTGTCGAATGCGATTACCCACCCGCCTGTATCCATGTTTTCTTGTCCTTCGACGGGGAGGAGGAGGACGAACTGTACCTCAGCACTATCGATAAGCTTGGTGTGTCCATGAAGATGGAGACATACCCCACGAGTATTGATGTCACATATCGGTCTGCACGTGTAACCATTTCACGCTTTGAGCATGGAGGAAAACGCCACTGCCAGAAAGTAACCTTCAAGCTCATCGACCGAGTGTACGAGGAGTATCTCAAGCGGAACGACAATCTATTCATTCTGTTTATTGACTCCGACTGTATCCTAGACAAGGTATGCCTACAAAACTTTGTCTACGACATGGAGCTCAGCCCTGGCAATTCTAGAGACATGCTGGCTATGACAGGCGTCATTACATCGACGACGAAAAAACATAGCATCATTACTCTGCTACAAGACATGGAATACATACATGGACAGTTGTTTGAACGAACCGTCGAATCTGGCTGTGGTTCCGTCACTTGTCTCCCGGGAGCGTTGACGATGCTGCGCTTCTCAGCTTTTCGAAGAATGGCCAAATATTATTTTGTAAACAAAACAGAGCACTGTGAAGACCTGTTCGATTTTGCTAAGTGTCACTTGGGAGAAGATCGCTGGTTAACCCATCTATTCATGATTGGAGCCAGGAAGCGGTACCAGATCCAGATGTGCACATCGGCCTTTTGCAAAACCGAAGCTGTGCAAACATATCGGTCCCTGGTTAAGCAGCGGCGCCGATGGTTTCTAGGCTTCATCACAAACGAGGTCTGTATGTTGACAGACTGGCGCCTGTGGAAGCGCTACCCCGTTCTCATATTGGTCCGTTTTATGCAGAATACCATCCGAACAACAGCATTACTATTCTTCATCATGGTTTTGGCCCTGATAACTACAGTCAAGAAAGTGGACGACCTTCCTGTGGGGTTTATTGCTGTTTCCCTGGGGCTGAATTGGCTGCTGATGCTGTATTTTGGAGCCAAGCTCCGCCGATTCAAAATCTGGCTCTACCCGCTCATGTTTATTCTTAATCCGTTCTACAACTGGCTGTATATGGTTTACGGTATATTCACAGCAGGGCAGCGAACTTGGGGCGGGCCACGAGCCGATGCGGCGGCGGCGGACGCTCACACAACAGCAAGAGAAGCAGTGGAACAAGCTGAGGAACAGGGAGACGAACTAAACGTGGTCCCCGAGACGTTTAAAGCGGCACACGAAGCACGTACGGCTCCCTCGAATCGTAAGTCGACCGCAACCAGCGAACTCGGACGAACTCGAAGCGTGGTGCGACCACCAGACAAGATTGATGGCAGGTTCTCAGCACGTCAGAAGACAGCATCAGGAACATATGCTCATCCAGATGAGATCGATACCAGCACAGAGGATATTGAAATGGGGAAAGCAACATCCCACGTGTTTTCGAAGCCTCAAGAGTGTGCGGATCTCGGAGTTGGAACACAGGGAAGAATGAAGCTCCTGATGGATGAGGAAAACATTCGAAAGTATGAGATTGCACAACAAATACAGGACAGAGCTTCTCAAGTGAGGGATTTGGAGGGCATCCAGTCTAGCCACGGCTTCTCGGCTTCACCTATGAGGCGTGCTGAAATTTCGGGAGATATGACCACTTCCCGAAGTCCTATCGAATACAATCAGGTCGCCCAAGATGAGCCAGTTGAATCTCGTCGTCGAAATTCTACGGAGAGAAGCATTGGTACCAGCCTTGAAGGGAAACAAACAAGGCTTGGATCAAACATGTCGTTTGCTAGTCGAATGACGAGAGGGAGGCTGAAGAAAAGCCGTTAGAATAAGGCAATGGGTTATACCCGGATCAAGCCAGTGTTTATATTGCTTAAGTTGAGCCAGTTGCTTGTGTGGTTCATCATTCTCAGACTATACATATCTAGTATAAAAAGTGAAGCTATCTCGAACAACGAACAGCAGGTTTTGCGTTGGATGGCTGTCGATCCAAACATGGTGAAGCCCACATCTACCCCGCAATTCTGGAGCTGCATGGGCTATCATGACAGCACAAGAGAGATGAAGACAGTGAAGGTCAGGCAGGTCGTTCGTTGACCGGGGTCGAATGCTCCAAGTGACCCTGTCACTTACTATGCACAACCAACTACGGATACAGTATGGACGGGGTAGGGCGAAAGCAAACGGAATAGCCTCACTGACATGTGGCGTCCTGATGTATATGCAATTTCAACAAATGTCACCAACATGAGGTTACTCCTGTTAATTCATGGACAAATTGTCGGTTCGGTGTTCCGGGGAAATAAATGAAGGTTTTGTCGGTGAGTTAGTCCAGTCCATTCCAGTCGATCACCTGAAAATTCATTTCCAAGTTGGCGGAGCACAAGAGTGAAAAGTGCATGATATTAGTTTCGAACAGCTTGGCACGGTTTGTTTGACTGTGTCAAGATCATGCAAATGTAGTCTTTAGTCACACCCGGAGGTTAGCCCCGGTTCAAGGTGGTGGTATGTATTATTGAGCTCGACCAAATTAAGTAGTCTCGAAATTCCTTCAATATTCTTGATGGAGATATTCTTGTGTCGTCAGTTTGGGGTTAGGAGTGCGCTGGGATTCAATGTGATGGAATAGTCAAGTTTGCCATGTTGAATACCTAACTAGACTAAAGGAGCTTAGGTCTAGTAGGTAGCGAGGAATTAATCCATGGATAGAAGACTTCCATATTATTACTTGCTGCTTGCTTTATCGTTATCAGAGTGGCTCTCACCCGTTTAGAGGGGGTTTTCTGTACTGTTTGTGCCCCTCCATTAACAAAGCTTTGTGTCTGCCTTGTTAGCGGGGGAGGGGCATGACAACTCAATTTGTACTTGCTGAGGTGTACTTTGTCCTGGTAAGATAACAGGGGAGGGGGGAAAGGCATTCACCATCTTTGCTTGCTTCATCCAAGCTAGGGGAGGAAAGAAAACTCAAGACCTTGACCCTGAGTGATAAAAATCCTTAGGTACATCTAGTCTAAACTTGGAGGACTCTTAACTACCTAAGTTTATTTTGACATCCTCTATTAAGGTCCAGCCAGTGTTTTCTTGCTCCCTGAGGCCAAGGCTCGAGTCAAGGGTATCACTCACTACCTGCCTACCTACTATAGTACCTAGGTCCGAGTACCTTAGTAGTTGCTGTGATGTATCATACCATGTATGTAATGTCGTGGCTGATGCTGGTGCCTTGCGTTTCTTTTTTTGTGGAGATTCTGTATCTGCTTTAAATCCCTGATATCCACTGTAAGGCAATTTGATTGCGTACAGAGCTCGGAGCTGTTGGATCTGGCGACAGAATCGCACAGAAATCTATCGTCGTTTCTAGGGTCTGCTAAGTCTAGTTGACTGTCCAACGTGACCACAAGCGAGATATTGCGCTGGTTTATCCTCACCAGATAGACCTATCATGGCTATAAAAAGTCGAAGGACATCTTTTTCGGAAGACATTTCTAAACTCTTTTTGAAGAAACGAAACTTCGCATCTTCTAGAAACAGCTTAAAGAAAAGAATCGAATCGCGAAAGGCTTTCAAGTAGTGTATACTTGGTTTACATCATCGCTCTGACTGCAGGTCCGCCACATCGTACATCGACCCGCAGGTACTGGATACAGTGGCACTTCCCTGTAGCTACTGAACCATTGAAAATTTCAGTACAGTGCAGCCCGTTGAACGGGATCCCCCATTCGCTGCCCCTCCACCAAAAAAAAAATTGACCCAGCGCCAGCGGACCAGGCCAGGCCATAAACAACCGCCGCCCAACCAAACCAACCTTACCTTAGCCATTCATACCCTACCAACCTTTACTCTTCCCCTCCATACTCTTTCTATCTTATCCATTCTCACGATCCTCCCTCTATCTCCCGCCTTTTTGTGATCGCTTTCCTTCTTCTCTTTTGAGCTTTCCCGCGCATCGCTCAACTTTACATCCCCCTTCCTCTTTTTACTTTAATACCGTGTCTCGGGGCAAACCCCACCCGTCGAAATCATGAGTGTCGTTGGTAAGTGACGCCCTCCGAGTACTCACTTTTTTTTCCTTGCTGGCGGTGCTCGGCCAATCGCTATTCCTCACAAGGAGCAACCCAACTTTGAACAACACCAAAACTGACTGATCGCTTTCCTTTGTATAGGTATCGATTTCGGAACCCTCAAGACTGTCATCGCCGTTGCTCGAAACCGCGGTGTCGATGTTGTGCGTAAACCCTCATAACCCCCCCGCCATCTATCCCAGTCGACTGCCCTGCCCCTCCATACCTTCTTCCTCGTCGCTCCTACACTTCTCACGGGATTGATGGACAACTGCAAGGGCTCCCCATAACTGACTTCGTTTGTCTTGTACAGGTCACCAATGAAGTTTCAAACCGAGCAACTCCGTATGTTTATACCTCTTGTTTGACCCCGTTGCTTGTCGCGTGCGGTCAAATAACCCTCCACCACATTCCTTTATCAGACACATATATACTGACAATTCTATTCCCAAGTTCCCTAGTAGGATTCGGACCCAAGTCTCGTTACCTTGGAGAGGCCGCCAAGACCCAGGAAATCTCCAACCTCAAGAACACTGTCAGCTCCCTCAAGCGTCTTGCTGGCCGACAATTCAACGACCCCGATATTCAGATTGAGCAGCAATATGTGACCGCTCCTCTGGCCGACTGCAATGGCCAGGTCGGTGCTGAAGTCAACTACCTGGGCAAGAAGGAGAAGTTCACAGCCACTCAGCTGGTCGCTATGTACTTGAGCAAGATCAAGCAGACCGCTGGAGCCGAGCTCAAGCTGCCTGTTCAAGACGTCTGCCTGAGTGTCCCTCCTTGGTTCACTGATGTCCAGCGCCGTGCTCTTATCGACGCTGCCGAGATTGCTGGACTCCGTGTTCTCCGTCTCATCAACGACGGCACAGCCGCCGCTCTTGGCTGGGGCATCACAAAGCTCGACCTGCCTGCCCCTGAGGAGGCTCCCCGCCGTGTCTGCTTCGTCGATATCGGCCACAGCAGCTACACTGTCTCCATTGTTGAGTTCAAGAAGGGTGAGCTCGCTGTCAAGGCCACAACCTGGGACAAGGACTTCGGTGGTCGTGACTTCGATCGCGCTCTGGTTGACCACCTCGCCAAGGAGTTCAAGGGCAAATATAAGGTTGACATCATGACCCACGGCCGTGCCCTTGCCCGTACCATCGCCGCCGCTGAGAAGACCAAGAAGATTCTCTCTGCCAACCAACAAGCTCCTGTCAACATTGAGTCTCTCATGAACGACATTGATGCTTCTGCCATGATCACTCGCCAGGAGTTCGAGGCCATGATCGAGCCTCTCCTTGCCCGAACCCACCTTCCCCTCGAGGAGGCCCTTGCCCAGGCTAAGCTCACCAAGGACGATATCGATGTTATCGAGGTCGTTGGTGGTGGTTCCCGTGTCCCCGCTCTTAAGGAGCGCATCCAGGAGTTCTTTGGAAAGCCTCTCTCCTTTACTCTTAACGCCGACGAGGCTCTTGCCCGTGGTTCTGCCTTCAGCTGTGCCATTCTCTCCCCTGTCTTCCGTGTCCGAGACTTCTCCGTCCAGGACATCATCAGCTACCCCATCGAGTTCGCCTGGGAGAAGGCCCCCGATATTCCTGATGAGGACACCAGCCTGACTGTCTTCAACAAGGGCAACGTCATGCCCTCGACCAAGATCCTTACTTTCTATCGAAAACAGCCCTTCGATCTCGAGGCCCGATATGCCCAGCCTGAGCTACTCCCCGGCAAGACTAACCCCTGGATTGGCCGTTTCTCTGTCAAGAACGTTAAGGCCGATGGTAAGGACGACTTCATGATTTGCAAACTCAAGGCCCGTGTCAACATCCACGGCGTCCTGAACGTCGAGACTGGTTACTACGTCGAGGAGGAGGAGGTTGAGGAGGAGGTTAACGAGGATCCCGATGTGAGTTTGTCCGAGCCGTTTATGGCGCCCAATGATTCCCCCCATGTCCAAGATCAGGACTCGGCCTCTTCATCGTCCGCATCCGTTGGAGATGATAGCCGAGCATATCCTGCAAAGCGCCCGCGACTCGATGATGATGAAGAAACCGACTCGTCTCGTCCCGCTTTCGCTGTTCCAGAACATTTAGAAGAATCGAATTATGAACCCCGATCGCTAACATTCGTTTCCCAAAAGGCCATGGATACCGATAAGGATGCCCCCAAGAAGACTCGCAAGGTGAAGAAGCAGGTCCGCAAGGGTGACCTGCCCATCTCCACAGGCAGTGCCTCTCTTGACGACTCCACCAAGGCCAGCCTTCTCGAGAAGGAGGCTGCCATGGTTATGGAGGACAAGCTTGTTGCCGATACCGAGGAGAAGAAGAACGAGCTCGAGGCTTACATCTACGACCTCCGTGCCAAGCTCGACGAGCAGTACTCTGAGTTTGCCAGCGAAGAGGAGAAGCAGACCATCAAGGCCAAGCTTGAGGCCACAGAGGTATGTTCACAAGTTCCCTGATAGCTCGAAGATTCATACTAATAGCAATTCTAGGATTGGCTGTACGAGGAGGGTGATGATACCACAAAGGGTGTGTATGTCGCCAAGATTGACGAGATCCGCGCCATGGCTGGTCCCATTGTCCAGCGTCACTTTGAGAAAGTCGAGGCTGAACGACAAGCCGCTCTGGAGAAAGCCGAGGCCGAACGGGCTGCGAAGAAGGCTGAGGAGGATGCTCGCAAGGCTGCGGAAGCCGAGAAAGTCAATGCAGACCAAGAGATGAAGGATGCCGACGCTCCGCAACAGGAGACCGAGGGCTCTGCCGACCCGCAGTAAATTATAAACAAAGGGAGGGAATTTCAACACTGCAGATGCATGCTCGGTGGGCTCTGCGTGTGTGATGCTTGCATGATATGCGATGAGATGAATGACGCTTAAAAAGATTACGGATGTTGAAAAAAGAAAGGGCACCGGGTTTGGGAGAAGGAGAAATAGAACATGCGATATGGTTGCAAACGGCTTTGTTTGTTTTGTTGGAAGAAAGGGGCCCGGATCATCATGACGGATATGTTACCCGAACGTTAGACCACTTTTTTACTTTTAAGTTAGTAGTTAGGATCCATACACTCCAGTTTGGTTCAGTTTCTTCCGTCACTATTCAAGTGTGTTATCGTGATGAGTTGGAAGCGAGCGTCTGCTGAGGGCATATCAGACTGAATACCTAGCAGGTGTCGTTGATCCAGTTCACACTCGTGACGTAGCAACAGCAAACATGAGATCCAGTCATTTCAGCCCTCGTTAATAAAGAGCCCTACTCTATACGACTACGTTGCCTTGAGGGTGTCCCTTGCCCTTCAACTCACGTCTCTTCAATCTTTTTTTACTGCCCAAAAATGTAAATCAGCACCGTACACAATTCCTCCAAACAAGTTGATGCAATTTCTTTTCCTATTCTCTTCTTTTTGATATGCATTGTATTTCTCGTACTGTTCTCCACGCAAAGGGAACTGGCTGCAACCTGATGTCCTGTCAGCATGTTATCGAAACATTGAGTTTCGCCTCCAGGACAGGATATAGCCAAGCTCCCGGCGCGATTGATGAGGTAGAAGCTTCACACCACCCATGTTCTTAACTTTTTGTAATCTTGGCTACTTATGAAATGTCGAATAAGGGCTTGAGCTTGATGATGAGCTGCCACTCATCGTTGCTGACCTCCTTTCTGTAGTATTCCTTGAGGGTGTCGATACTGGCTCGAGATATCAAACTATAAAGGGTCTCGTCTTCTTCCAGATGGCGGCCGTACATGGGCTGGTTGCCACCCATCTCGATCTTGATAGCGACAGAAGGCTCCTTTCGCTTACACACGGGAATTTGCTTGTGCTCTCGCTCAATTGATGTACTATAAGACTGTTAATAGGGGTTCTTGAGGGAGGAGAGGATCTAGAAACATACACTCTGCCCAGTTTGACGATCTCCTTGGCACCGGTTGTAGGGTTATTCCTGACAGCGGCGACAGGACAGTTGATTCGGAGCTGACCCTCAGTGACATCAACGCCAATAACAATGGGGTCGTTCTTGTTGAAGACCTTGACGGGCTTCAGTACACAAGGGAAGACAGCAAGCATCTTGGACTCTTCCTTCTTCTTCTCGAGTTGCTCGTCCATATGCTTGGTGAAGGCATCGAACAGATGATAAATAATATCAGCTGTAAAGATCTTGATGCCATTGTCCTCTGCATACTGCTGTGCTTCCTTGTCGACCTTGACATCGAAACAGAGCATGATGGCATAGTCTGGTGCCTTCTCCAACATAACACCGCACTGCAGGACATCACGCTTGTAAACGGGGCCGATACCAACATTGGCAACGGGAATCTTGCAGTCCTTGAGGAAATCGAGCAGAGCCTCGAGCGAACCAAGAGTCGACGCTTGGACACTGACACCGCGACCAGTTTTCTCGACACGGTTGAAGAGGACAGCAAGATCGGACTCAACCTCATCCTCAATATCGTCTTCGTCGTCATCGGGACCAACAACCATCAGGCGTGAGCCAGCGATGGCACCCTCGAGACCAGGGGCGCTGATCTTGACACCTAGGGCAGCCTTGACCTCCTTATTGTGTACATAGGCGGACTTGAGACGCAATTCCTTCATGGGTGCTGGTGTAAGCAGTGCTCTGATATTTGTCTTGATAGCCCCTTCTGTACCGCACAGCACAATGCGATCACCTTCTCGCAAGATACCGTTGGACAGGACTACATCGATGGTCATACCGAAACCCTCAATAGCCTTAACTTCGAGCACAGTGGCCTGGACCTCAGAGAGATACATGAGAGAGCCAACCATACGCTCTTGAGTGAGCTGGACAATGAGCTTCAACATGTCAGGGACACCCTCGCCAGTGTGTGCCGAAGTGGGCACAAGCGAGACGTACTTTGACATGGATTTGTTCTCGTAGAAGAGCTCGGAGTTGAAACCCTGCTCAGCGAAGGCAATCTTGGTCTTTTCGAGGCGGGTCTCAAATTCGTTGCGGACAGCCTTGCTCTGGAGAGCCAAACTGTCCTGGAAACCGTTGTTGGCAACCTGCTTCCAGCCGTAGAGACGATCGATCTTGTTGAGGGCGACGATGAATGGAGTCTTGCGCTCTCTCAGCATGCGCATAGACTCGAGTGTCTGAGGCTCGAGACCGTGCATGATATCGACAACCAAGATGGCAATGTTACAGAGCGAAGAACCACGAGATCGGAGGTTAGAGAAGGACTCGTGACCAGGTGTGTCGATGATGAGAAGACCGGGGACCTTGAACTCGAACTTGCCGTCAGGGTTGACAACAGCCGTCTTTTGTCGGATGGCTTCAACAGGGAAGTACGTGGCACCGATCTGTTGTGTAATACCACCAGCTTCACCTTCTTGGACATTAGTTTGACGGACCTTGTCCAGGAGCTTTGTCTTTCCAGTATCGACGTGGCCCAGAATACAGCAAATAGGAGATCGCAGGTTATCCTTGGATCGGGCAGCAAGGGCGGCCTGGTGAGCCTTTTCACGGCGCTCAGCAGCCTCTCGCTTCCGCTTCTCCTCCGCCAATTGTGCAGCTGTGGCAGCCTCATCATCGGAAGACTCCTCCTCGGATTCGTCTTCAGACTCTTCTTCAGCCTTGGCTTCCGATGTGCCGTTGGCCTTTTCGGCCTCATCGTCAGAATCGGCATCCCAGCTGTCCTTGACATCGCCGTCAGAAGCAGCAGCAGCCTCCCAATCATCCTCCACATCACTCTCGGCACCCTTCTTTTCGGCAGCAGCCTTGGCCTCGGCCTCGGCCTTCTCACGGGCAGCCTTCTCTTCAGCTTCCTTCAAAGCCTTCTCAGCTTCTTGTCGAGCTCGCTCAGCAGCTTCTGCGAGAGCCTTCTCCTCATCGATCTGCCTGGGGTTAGCGAATCCTGATCTCTCGGTGTCTTTTATCACAAGGTATACCTTTTGTTGGGCGCGGCCCTTCTTTCTCCTGTTGTCCGCAGGCTTGGACTTCTTCTCACTGGGCTCGCCTGCAGGTCCAACTTGAATACCGGCAGCCAGCATCTGCTGAAGCTTTCGCTCATTTCGGGCCTTCTCTTCCTTTTGGGCCTTTGTGAGATACTTACCCTCCTTCTTGAGTTGCTCGATTCTCTCCCTCTCCTTCTGTTTCTTGATGGCCTTGGCCTCCTCGCGTCGCTTTTCTTCCTCAGCAGCTAGGCGCTCGTCTTCTTCGGCCTGGGCCTTCGCTTCGGCTTCGGCTTTGGCAGCTTCTTCTCGTTGGCGCTTGAGTTCCTCCTGCTGCTTCTGGAGCAGAGCAAGGTGGGCGGGGAGCTTCTTCTTCTTGCCTCCCGCGGCGGGCTCAGGAGCGGGAGCAGCCTCAACAGGGGCAATCTCCTGCTTCTCCTTCACCTCAGGGGCAGCCTTTGGTGCAGCGCCACCCTTCTTCTTCGCAGCGGCCTATTGCGGGGTCGGGTTGTTAGCAGGCTGTATTTAGGTAGAATAGAACCATGCTATGTCCATGGTCTAGCTGTAACGTACCTGCTCCTTCTTTCGCTGCTTCTCACGCTCCTTCTTGAGCTTCTCCTTCTCGGCCTTGGTCAGAATACGGCCACCATCGGCGGCATCGTCAGCAGCAGCAGAAGGCTCGGGCTTCTTGGCAGCTTGCTTGTTCTGCTTGCCACCCTTGCTCTTCTTCTCGGGTAGAGCAAACTCATCGTCGATGTTGGCCTCGACGGGGGCTTGGGCGGGGGGCTCTTGGGCAGCTGGGGCCTCAGATTCGGGTTCGGGTTCGGGTTCAGGCTCGACGATACCCTTCTTCTTGCGCTTCTCCTTGTTCTTGCGCAGAGTAGCCATCAGGCCACCGGCACCGCCATCATCGTCGTCGTCGTTGGGGTTGGCGTCGCCATCGGTACCGTTGGCATTGGCAGGTGGGGCAATACTCTCGCCCAGCTCGGCCTCCCAATCGTCCTGCTGGTTCTTCTTGTTTCCCTTCTTCTTGGGCGGCATCTCAGCGGTTGTCTTGTTGGGTGAAACTCGAGATGCAGTCGTCAAGGTTGGCGGGGCTAAACGTTCCTTATTTATGGAATTTTTGGGGGCAACCTAGGCGGAAACAAAGTACCAAAGCCCAAAAAAAGATAACGTTACAAAACTGTGCCAGACGAACGAGGCAACCTACTGACTAAATTTCCGTGGTCTCGGTCACTCTCTCAAGCACGCACGCGCACACACACTATCAAACAAGCAAGGCAGAGAGGATCGAACGCACGCCTAGACTATATGGTCAGGCCAGGTTGAAGCGTGCGAGTAGGTGGGTTGGGCTACCAATTTAGGCGGGGCAATGCTGCGGGCAACCACTGTATCCGTACTCCAGGGCTTTCTTTTCGGTGGCGAATCTTTAGACTCTTAAATATTGTTCTCGTGACATGTCCAGTCTAAAAGGCGTACGACATGTCTGTCTCGCACGCACTTGTCACTCATTAAATTTTGGTCTGCTTCGTCTGCCCCTCTCAAAAAAGTCACAACGTTTGGCAACAGGTAATTCAAGCCGACCTCAGATGCTCAGTCTAGTTAGTGCGGGGCAATGACAAAAACCCCAGGAATCATGATTATTTTGTGAATGTGCCATATTATGTAAGCCTTCACCAACGCGCAAACTTGATGAGATGAAGCCTCAAGCCTTGAGCATAAGATGGCCTGGCGTTGTAGGCAGAAGTCAAATTTAGTCATGATCTGCCTCACAAATCTGATTATTACCGTCAAGAGTCGTTATTTTATCTATACCATATTAAATGCCCTTCCACGTGATTCAACATGTTCCCAACTCAGATTGCT